GGGTGTTCTCTCTCTGTGACAGGGTGTTCTCTCTGTGACAGAGGGTGTTCTCTCTGTGACAGAGGGGTGTCTTCGGGTGTTCTCTCTGTGTCAGAGGGGTGTTCTCTCTGTGACAGAGGGGTGTTCTCTCTGCGTCAGAGGGGTGTTCTCTCTGCGTCAGAGGGGTGTTCTCTCTGCGTCAGAGGGGTGTTCTCTCTGCGTCAGAGGGGTGTTCTCTCTGCGTCAGAGGGGTGTTCTCTCTGCGACAGAGGGGTGTTCTCTCTCTGTGACAGAGGGGTGTTCTCTCTGCGACAGAGGGGTGTTCTCTCTGTGTCAGAGGGGTGTTCTCTCTGTGACAGAGGGGTGTTCTCTCTCTGTGACAGAGGGGTGTTCTCTCTGTGTCAGAGGGGTGTTCTCTCTGTGTCAGAGGGGTGTTCTCTCTGTGTGACAGAGGGGTGTTCTCTCTCTGTGACAGAGGGGTGTTCTCTCTGTGACAGAGGGGTGTTCTCTCTCTGTGACAGAGGGGTGTTCTCTCTGTGACAGAGGGGTGTTCTCTCTGTGACAGAGGGGTGTTCTCTCTCTGTGACAGAGGGGTGTTCTCTCTCTGTGACAGAGGGGTGTTCTCTCTCTGTGACAGAGGGGTGTTCTCTCTGTGTCAGAGGGTGTTTTCTCTCTGTCAGAGGGGTTCTCTCTGTGACAGAGGGGTGTTCTCTCTGCGTCAGAGGGGTGTTCTCTCTGCGACAGAGGGGTGTTCTCTCTGCGACAGAGGGTGTTCTCTCTGCGACAGAGGGGTGTTCTCTCTGCGACAGAGGGGTGTTCTCTCTGTGTCAGAGGGGTGTTCTCCTCTGTGTCAGAGGGGTGTTTCTCTCTGTGTCAGAGGGGTGTCTCTCTCTGTGTCAGAGGGTGTTCTCTCTGTGTCAGAGGTGTCTCTCTGTGCAGAGGGGTGTTCTCTCTCTGGTGTTGTGGAGGTGAATTACTCGACTCGACGCAGAACCATAAAACAAAACCACAGCGGCGACGGCGGCGACAGAGTCGATAAGTCGATGCAAAACTAAACTTCACCCTCAAGTCTCTGAGTCTCTATCCAAGTCCTTGGTCTTTGGGTCTGGGCCTTTGTGTTTCAGTCTGAGTCCGAGTCCGGGTCCGGGTCCTGGTCCTGGTCTCACCGTGCTTGAGTTTGTCGATGAGTTCTTCGTTGTCGTCCAGTTTGAGTTCGTTCACTCGATCAATCAAACCCTCGATGTCTCCCATTCCTGAAACACAAGAACCAGAACTGAACCAGGTCTAAACCAGGTCTAAACCAGGTCTAAACCAGGTCTAAACCAGGTCTAAACCAGGTCTAACCAGGACTAAAACCAGGACTAAACCAGGTCTAAACCAGGTCTAAACCAGGTCTAAACCAGGACTAAACCAGGACTAAACCAGGACTAAACCAGGACTAAACCAGGACTAAACCAGGTCTGGACCAGTACCGAGCAGTTTGCTGATGAAGGGTTGGGTCTTGAAGGGTTCGAAGTCGTCGATGTGTTCGCCCGTCCCGATGAAGATGATGGGCGAGCGAGTGGCCGCCACACTGAGAGAGAGAGAGAGAGAGAGAGGGGTCAAAGAAGCTCCGCCCCCTTTGCCGTGTGTGTGTGTTAGACTCACGCGCTCAGAGCTCCGCCCCCTTTGCCGTGTGTGTGTGTGTGTTTAGACTCACGCGCTCAGAGCTCCGCCCCCTTTGGCGTGCCCGTCCAGTTTGGTGACGATGACCGAGGCCACGTCCACTTTGTCCTTGAAGGCTTTGGCCTGAGCCTCACAGGCCTGACCGATCGACGCGTCCATCACGTACACGATGTTGTCCGGTTGCTACGGAAACAACACAACGGGTCAAAGATCAAAGGTCTGGACCTAAACCTAATTCATGGTTCTATCTGCAGATGATGTGAGATGTTCTGTGTGTGTGAGATGTTCTGGTGGTGTGAGATGTTCTGGTGGTGTGAGATGTTCTGGTGGTGTGAGATGTTCTGGTGGTGTCTGGTGGTGTGAGATGTTCTGGTGGTGTGAGATGTTCTGGTGGTGTGAGATGTTCTGGTGGTGTGAGTTCTGGTGGTTCTGGTGTGAGATGGTGGTTCTGGTGGTGTGAGATGTTCTGGTGTGAGGTTCTGGTGGTGTGAGATGTTCTGGTGGTGGTTCTGGTGGTGTGAGATGTTCTGGTGGTGTGAGATGTTCTGGTGGTGTGAGATGTTCTGGTGGTGGTTCTGGTGTTGGTTCTGGTGTTCGGTCCTGCGTCAGGTTAAACTCACCACGGCGTTGGAGACCTGGAGCATCTCCTCGAACAGGGAGTCCTCTTGTTTGTGGCGTCCGCTCGTGTCCACGATGATGATCTCAAAGTTTTCAGATTTAAACTTGTCGACGCCTTCGGCCGCGATCACCACCGGGTCCATCTCCGTGTAACTGTGGAGACGACAAACTCACGTCATCTCACCGTAAAGACGCACTCTGTCACTTTACTGGGGGAGCGTCCGTCAAACGCTCGTCTCCATGGAGATGTTGCTGCTTTGTCTGGAATGTTCCACAGTGTGGCTTTAAACTTTCTGTCTTCGTTGGTGATCGAACAAATGTTGTGTACGATTCTGGGAAAATGTTTTAAAAAACTGAGCAGAACTTTACAAACATAAAACACACAAACTCTTTTTTTATGTTGTTGAAAAACTCCGAGTCACCGTCTGCGACAAAAAACACGTCCAACAAAAATCCGTGTATCATTCGTTCATTCGTTTTTCAATATAAAACCAAAAATAAGAAAATGAAAAAACAACAGTTTTCTTCGTTATTTGTCTCTGAAACCAAAATGAAAAAACGGATAACGATTCGTTTTTTCAGTTTTCGATTTTGTGTTTAAATGAAGAATGGAAAAAACGGATAACAGCCGTTTCCCGTTTACCTGACTTCCGTGACTGCGATGCCGGACTTTTACACCGGGTACGGACTGAACCGGGACTGATCCAGGTCCGAGACCAGACCGTTATCCGTTTTTTCCATTCTTCATTTAAACACAAAATCGAAAACTGAAAAAACGAATCGTTATCCGTTTTTTCATTTTGGTTTTGGAGACAAATGACGAAGAAAACTGTTGTTTTTTCATTTTCTTATTTTTGGTTTTATATTGAAAAACGAATGAACGAATGATACACGGATTAACAAAACTTTTCACAACGTCTCAAGTGTCGCTGGAGGTTGGGGGAACAACATTTTATGTCCGAAAAAAAAACATGTTTGTGTGAAAGTGTTCCAGCCGGACAGGGACTCTCACCTGCCGGACAGGGACTCTCACCTGCCGGACAGGGACTCTCACCTGCCGGACAGGGACTCACCTGCCGTAGAAGGGGATCCGGGCTTTGGTGGCGTTCTGTTTGAGCTGATCAAATGCTCCTGGAGACAGAGAAACAGAGAGAACAAGTGAAAAACAAGAGAAAGAGAGAGAGAGTTGTGTTCAGTCGTGTCGTGTCGTGCGTCGTGTCGTGTTGTGCGTGTCGTGTTGTGCGTCGTGTCGTGTTGTGCGTCGTGTCGTGTCGTGTGTGCGTCGTGTCGTGTCGTGCGTCGTGTCGTGCGTCGTGTCGTGCGTCGTGTCGTGTCGTGTCGTGTCGTGCGTGTCGTGCGTCGTGTCGTGTGTGCGTCGTGTCGTGTCGTGCGTGTCGTGTCGTCGTGTCGTGTCGTGCGTCGTGTCGTGTCGTGTCGTGTCGTGCGTCGTCGTGCGTCGTGTCGTGCGTCGTGTCGTGTCGTCGTCGTGTCGTGCGTCGTGTCGTGTTGTGCGTCGTGTCGTGTCGTGCGTCGTGTCGTGTCGTGCGTTGACCTGCTCTGAAAGTGTCTGCACAGATCAGGCAGGTCTTCCAGCCTTTCCTCTGGTAATAATAGGCCAACTACAAAAACAAAACACACACATCAGGTTATGAGACAGGTGAGACAGGTGCGACAGGTGCGACAAGTGAGACAGGTGCGACAGGTGAGACAGGTGCGACAGGTGAGACAGGTGAGACAGGTGCGCACCTTGGAGCAGGTGGTGGTTTTGCCGCTGCCCTGTAGACCCACAAACATGATCACGTTGTTCTTTCCTTTAGTCGGAGTCCAGGCCTTGACTCCAGGATCCACCAACTGTAACACAAACAGGACAACGTTACACAAACACAACCAGAACCAGAACCAGAACCACAAACACAACCAGAACCACAAACACAACCAGAACCACAACCAGAACCACAAACACAACCAGAACCACAAAACAACCACAACCAGAACCACAAACACAACCACAACCAACACACAAACACAAACACACAACCAGAACCACAAACACAACCACAACCACAACCAGAACCACACAAACACAACCAGAACCACAAACACAAACCACAACCAAACACAACCAGAACCACAAAACACAACCAGAACACACAAACCACAACCACAACCAGAACCACAAACACAACACAAACCACAAACACAACCAGAACTAGAACCACAAACACAACCAGAACTAGAACCACAAACACAACCAGAACCAGAACCACAAACACAACCAGAACCAAACCACAAAACACACAACCAGAACCACAAACACAACCAGAACCACAAACACAACCAGAACCACAAAACACAACCAGAACACAACACAACCAGAACCAAACACACAACCAGAACAGAACCACAACACAAACCAGAACCACAAACCACAAACACAACCAGAACCAGAACCACAAACACAACCAGAACCACAGAACCACAAACACAACCAGAACCACAAACACAACCAGAACCAGAACCACAAACACAACCAGAACTAGAACCACAAACACAACCAGAACCACAAACACAACCAGAACTAGAACCACAAACACAACCAGAACCAAAACCAGAACCAGAACCACAAACACAACCAGAACCAGAACCACAAACACAACCAGAACCACAAACACAAACACAACCAGAACCACAAAACACAACCAGAACCACAAACAAACACAAAACACAACCAGAAACCCAAACCACAACCAGAACCACAAACACAAACACAAACACAACCAGAACCACAAACCAGAACCACAAAACACAAACACAACCAGAACCACAACCAGAACCACAAACACAAACAACCAGAACCACAACCAGAACCACAAAACACAAAACACAACCAGAACCACAAACACAACCAAACACAAACCACAACCAGAACCACAAACAGAACACAACACAGAAACACAGAACACAAACACAAACACAACCAGAACCAAAACACAAACACAAACACAACACAACCAGAACCACAAACACAACCAGAACCAGAACCAGCAAACCACAAACACAAACCACAACCAAACCACCAAACACAACCAGAACCACAAACACAACCAGAACCAAAACCAGAACCACACAACACAAACACAACCAGAACCACAAACACAACCAGAACCAAAACCAGAACACAAACACAACCAGAACCAAAACCAGAACCACAAACACAACAGAACCAGAACCAAACCAGAACCACAAACACAACCAGAACCAGAACCAAACAACACAACCAGAACTAGAACCACAAACACAACCACAGAACCACAAACACAACCAGAACCACAAACAACAAACCAGAACCAGAACCAGAACCACAAACACAACCAGAACCAGAACCACAAACACAACCAGAACCACAACCAGAACCACAAACACACAACCAGAACCAGAAACCACAAACACAACCAGAACTAGAACCACAAACACAACCAGAACCACAAACACAACCAGAACCACAAACACAACCAGAACCAGAACCAGAACCAGAACAAACACAACCAGAACCAGAACCACAAACACAACCAGAACTAGAACCACAAACACAACCAGAACCAAAACCAGAACCACAAACACAACCAGAACCAGAACCACAAACACAACCAGAACCACAAACACAAACACAACCAGAACACACCAAACCAGAACCAGAACACAACACAACCAGAACCAGAACCACAAACACAACCAGAACCACAAACACAAACACAACCAGACAAACCACAAACACACCAGAACCACAAACACAATCAGAACCAGAACCACAACACAACAAACCAGAACCACAAACACAACCAGAACCAAACACAACCAGAACCACAAACACAAACACAACCAGAACTAGAACCACAAACACAACCAGAACCAAAACCAGAACCACAAACACAACCAGAACCACAAACACAACACAACCAGAAACCACAAACACAACCAGAACCACAAACACAACCAGAACCACAAACACAAACCAGAACCAGAACCACAAACACAACCAGAACCACAAACACAACCAGAACCACAAACACAACCAGAACCAGAACCACAAACACAACCAGAACCACAAACACAAACACAACCAGAACCACAAACACAACCAGAACCACAAACACAATCAGAACCAGAACCACAAACACAACCAGAACCAGAACCACAAACACAACCAGAACCACAACCACAAACCAGAACCAGAACCACAAACACAACCAGAACCACAAACACAAACACAACCACAACCAGAACCAGAACCACAATCAGAACCAGAACCAGAACCACAAACACAACCAGAACCACAAACACAACCAGAACCACAAACACAACCAGAACCACAAACCACAAACACAACCAGAACCAGAACCACAAACACAACCAGAACCAGAACCAGAACCACAAACACAACCAGAACCACAAACACAAACACAACCAGAACCACAAACACAACCAGAACCACAAACACAACCACAACCAGAACTAGAACCACAAACACAACCAGAACCAAAACCAGAACCACAACACAAACACAAACCAGAACCACAAACACAACCAGAACACAAAAACACAAACCACAAACACAACACAACCAGAACCACAAACACAACCAGAACCAGAACCACAAACACAACCAGAACCACAAACACAATCAGAACCAGAACCACAAACACAACCAGAACCACAAACACAACCAGAACCACAAAAACAACCAGAACCACAACCAGAACCACAACCAGAACCACAAATACAATCAGAACCAGAACCACAAACACAACCAGAACCACAAACACAACCAGAACCAGAACCACAAACACAACCAGAACCAGAACCACAAACACAACCAGAACCACAAACACAAACACAAACACAACCAGAACCACAAACACAACCACAACCAGAACTAGAACCACAAACACAACCAGAACCAAAACCAGAACCACAAACACAACCAGAACCAGAACCACAAACACAACCAGAACCACAAACACAAACACAACCAGAACCACAAACACAACCAGAACTAGAACCACAAACACACAACCACAAACCAACCAGAAACCACAAAACACAACCAGAACTAGAACCACAAACACAACCAGAACCAAAACCAACCAGAACCACAAAACACAACCAAACCACCAGAACCAGAACAAACACAATCAGAACCAGAACCACAAACACAACCAGAACCACAAACACAACCAGAACCACAAACACAAACACAACCAGAACCAGAACCACAAACACAACCAGAACCACCAGAACCAGAACCACAAACACAATCAGAACCAGAACCACAAACACAACCAGAACCAGAACCACAAACACAAACACAACCAGAACCACAAACACAAACACAACCAGAACCAGAACCACAAACACAACCAGAACTAGAACCACAAACACAACCAGAACTAGAACCACAAACACAACCAGAACAGAACCACAAAACCAGAACCAGAACCACAAACACAACCAGAACCAGAACCACAAACACAACCAGAACCACAAACACAACCAGAACCAGAACCACAAACACAACCAGAACTAGAACCACAAACACAACCACAACCAGAACCACAAACACAACCAGAACCAACAAAACAAACAACCAGAACCAGAACCACAAACACAAACCAGAACCACAAAACACAACCAGAACCAAACACAAACACAACCAGAACTAGAACCACAAACACAACCACAACCAGAACCACAAACACAACCAGAACCACAAAACACAACCAGAACCAGAACCAAAACACAAACCACAAACACAAACACAACCAGAACCACAAACACAAACCAGACCCTCAAACACAAACACAACCAGAAACAAACACAACCAGAACCACACAAACACAAACACAACCAGAACCACAAACACAACCAGAACCAGAACCAAACACAACCAGAACCAAAACCACAAACACAACCAGAACCAAAACCAGAACCAGAAACACAACCAGAACTAGAACCACAAACACAACCAGAACCAAACACAACCAGAACCAAAACCAGAACCAGAACCACAAACACAACCAGAACCAGAACCAGAACCACAAACACAACCAGAACCAGAACCACAAACACAACCAGAACTAGAACCACAAACACAACCAGAACCAGAACCACAAACACAACCACAACCAGAACCACAAACACAACCACAAACACAACCAGAACCAGAACCACAAACACAAAACACAAACCAGAACCAAACACAACACAACCAGAACCAGAAACCAGAACACAAACACAACCAGAACCAGAACCACAAACACAACCAGAACCAGAACCACAAACACAAAACACAACCAGAACCACAAAACACAACCAGAACCACAAACACAACCAGAACCAGAACCACAACAGAACCACAAACACAACCAGAACCAGAAACCACAAACACAACCAGAACCACAAAACAACCAAACACAACCAGAACCACAAACACAACCAGAACCAGAACCACAAACACAACCAGAACCACAAACACAACCAGAACCAGAACCACAAACACAACCAGAACTAGAACCACAAACACAACCAGAACCAGAACCACAAACACAAACTCAACCACAAACACAAACAGAACCACAAACACAACCAGAACCACAAACACAACCAGAACCAGAACCACAAACACAACCAGAACCACAAACACAACCAGAACCACAAACACAACCAGAACCACAAACACAACCAGAACCAGAACCACAAACACAACCAGAACTAGAACCACAAACACAACCAGAACCAGAACCACAAACACAACCAGAACCACAAACACAACCAGAACCACAAACACAACCAGAACCACAAACACAACACACACACAAACACACTCACACCATCATCGTAGTGTATATATATATGATATAAAGAGTGTGTATGTGGTGTGTGTATGCGGTGTGTGTATGCGGTGTGTGTATGCGGTGTGTGTATGTGGTGTGTGTATGCGGTGTGTATGCGGTGTGTGTATGTGGAGTGTGTATGTGGAGTGTGTATGTGGTGTGTGTATGTGGTGTGTGTATGTGGTGTGTGTATGTGGTGTGTGTATGTGGAGTGTGTATGTGGAGTGTGTATGTGGAGTGTGTATGTGGTGTGTGTATGTGGTGCGTGTATGTGGTGCGTGTATGTGGTGCGTGTATGTGGTGTGTGTATGTGTATGTGGTGTGTGTATGTGGAGCGTGTATGTGGTGTGTGTATGTGGTGTGTGTATGTGGTGTGTGTATGTGGTGTATGTGGTGTGTGTATGTGGAGCGTGTATGTGGTGTGTGTATGTATGTGTGTGTGTGTATGTGGTGTGTGTATGTGGAGCGTGTATGTGTGTGTGTATGTGGTGTGTGTATGTGTGTGGTGTGTGTATGTGTGTGTGTATGTGGTGTGTGTATGTGTGTGTGTGTGTATGTGTGTGTGTGTGTATGTGTGTGTGTGTGTAGTGTGTGTGGTGTGTGTATGTGGTGTGTGTATGTGTGTGTGTGTGTATGTGTGTATGTGTGTTGTATGTGTGTGTGTATGTGGTGTGTGTATGTGGTGTGTGTATGTGCAGTGTGTGTATGTGGTGTGTATGTGGAGCGTGTATGTGGTGTGTGTATGTGGTGTGTGTATGTGGAGCGTGTATGTGGTGTGTGTATGTGGTGTGTGTATGTGGTGTGTGTATGTGGTGTGTGTATGTGGAGCGTGTATGTGGTGTGTGTATGTGGTGTGTGTATGTGGAGCGTGTATGTGGTGTGTGTATGCGGTGTGTGTATGTGTGTGTGTATGTGTGTATGCGTGTGTATGTGTGTGTATGTGTGTGTGTGTATGTGTGTGTGTGTATGTGTGTGTGTGTGTATGTGGAGCGTGTATGCGGTGTGTGTGTGTGTGTGTATGTGTGCGTGTATGTGTGTATGGTGTGTGTATGTGGAGCGTGTATGTGGTGTGTGTATGTGTGTGTGTGTGGAGCGTGTATGCGGTGTGTGTATGCGGTGTGTGTATGTGTTGTGTGTATGGACCTTGACGAGCTCCTTGAACACGGCGTGTTGGATCATCCTCCGTTTGTTCAGACCAGACGCCATCTCCTCCAGATCTATGGCTGACCTGAGCACATGGGTCATACACACACACAGGTCATACACACACACACGGGTCATACACACACACGGGGAGACAGTGGGGGTCTGCAGGGGTTGACGTGTGTGTGTGTGTGTGTGGGGGGGGGTCTGGTCAGTGTGACTCACTTGACGTTCTCTCTCAGTTGTTTGACGAGTTTGATGTTGACGTCGGCCTCCAGCAGAGCAGCACACACCTCCTTTAACATGGCATTTAACACCTGAACACACAACACACAACACACGACACACGACACACACCTCCTTTAACATGGCATTTAACACCTGAACACACAACACATCACATACAGGGTCATACCACACACACACACTCTAGATGTGTGGATGGGCTATTTTTTCATCCGCAACCGCGACACAAAACTCATCATCCGCCCGCATTTTGCACCGAAGGTTTTCAAAACCGCACCCGCCACCATCCGCCGATTGATTTTAGATTTTAGAACAATCATACAGCAAACAAACTAAGGAGCCTCGATAAAAATGCAAACTATAGCTCATTCATTCCAAAATTCGCTCAGCGTGTTTGTTGTGCTAATTAATTGACAACGTTTTCCGACTCGGCTGTTTTTGAACCTTCTTGCCTTCGTGTTGGATGTTGTTACATTCTGAACATTCTGCCATTGCCTGATGTTATTTCTTTAAGTTTTAAAGACCCCGAGTGGCAGTCGACGCTATAATGTCTGCGTGTTTTAAAATATAACTGATATCGATACAAAACAGACAGATCATCTCATCCAGATGAACCTTTATTGAAATCAGGCAATGCCCTCTTTATATTCCAACTGAAATAGGCAAGAAAAAATATGCAACTAAATAAATATGGTCCTATAGCCACTTATGTGTTGGCAAACAGCTGAAATAAATTAGAAATAATAAAATAAACTGCATATAATATGTGCCTCGTAAACCTTAGGCATCAATAACCCGACACAACCTGAACCTTCAGAACATAAAAACGAGGTCAAATGGACTAATTAAGGACATGACGAACACTTCATACAAGCACAGACAATGACACTCGTCTTTTCACATGTACGTAACAATACTAACAAGAACTTTTTTTTTTTTTTTTTTTTTTTAGTAGTTAAACCGCCACCCGCCCGAATTTAATTAAAATATAATTTTTCGTCACGTCATCCGCCCGACCCGCAGATTAACCGCGGATACCGCGGTTGTAACCGCAATCCGCGCATCTCTAACACACACACGTCACATGACACACACATTCTCGCGGCGTGTGTTTCTCGCGGCGTGTGAGACTCATGTTTTCGGTGTGTTTCTCTGTGTGTGACTCGGGCGCGTGTGACTCGGGCGCGTGTGACTCGGGCGCGTGTGACTCGGGCGCGTGTGACTCGGGCGCGTGTGACTCGGGCGCAGGTGTAGGTGCAGTACCTCTTCGTTGATGATGGTGGCGTTGCTGAGCGACCTCAGGGCTGAGGTGATCTTTCGTCCTAAATCTGCCAGAACCATGATGTCCCACAGAGAGGTCCTGAGGTCAGACACAAGGGTCAGAGGTCAGACACAAGGGTCAGAGGTCAGATGAGGTACAGGTTTAAGGTCAAACTCACCTCTTCACTGAGAAAAGACGAGAAAACTGTTTATGAAGGAAAAAAAAAACTCCTGTGGAGCCGACACCTGCAGAAACACACAAACACACACATACACACAACACACACACACACACACACACACACACACACACACACACACACACACACACACACACACACACACACACACACACACACACACACACACACAACACACACACACACACACACACACACACACACACACACACACACACACACACACACACACACACACACACACACACACACACACACACACACACACACACACACACACACACAACACACACACACACACACACACACACACACACACACACACACACACACACACACAACACACACACACACACACACACACACACACACACACACACACACACACACACACACACACACACACACACACACACACACACACACACACACACACACACACACCACACACAACACAACACACACACACACACACACACACACACACACACAACACAAA